GGTGAATGCCACAAATTCTCCTAAATCACTCGTACGCACAACTTAAGAACAAATCTGTGCGTACCAACGGTTTTTGCATGAGGCCCATTGTTTTCTTTGAAATCTTCAGCTGCTGGCTCTGTTTCTGTCTTCTAGCTTTTAGCTGTCATTCTTTTTTAGCTAGTGTTCTGCTTGTTTGTATTTTACCAGCTGAGTTCTGAGAACTCCTGCAGTTTCACAGAGTCTAGTTTCTGACCTGGACTGTTCTTCAGCAGAGGTTCAAGCTGAAATAGTGACAGCGTGGTGTATAGCTGTTCTGTCTTGTTGGCCTCCCCCCTCCCTCGGTGCTTCAGGGCCCACAGTGAGCTGCACAGTGAGCTCATTAAGACTTGTCTACAGCCTGCAGCTCTGCTTACCTGGGCCGGGCCTGGTTCTGGCTCAGTCAGCACTGGCTGTCAGGACTCTGTGTCTCCTTCACTGCTTCTCCACAGCTCTATGACATCATTACCCTCTAACAGTGATTGTATTGATTCATGACTCTGAGAGAAGAACATACTTTAAGAAAAATTAAACCCAGTCATAAACAACGTAGTTGAAGGAAAACAAATCCAACGTGAGGAACTGCAGTTCWGCAGGTTTTAGCAGTTTTATGCTTAATGCTAATGAAATAAAGAACTGTTGACATGTAGTTGAGTTGAGAAGCAGACCAGGATCAAACGTGGGATTGTAACGCAGAACAAGTTTGTGTTTTTGAAGAGCAGAGTTGTAAAGTAACTAAGTACTAATACTTTTTTACTGTACTTAAGTAAAATTTTTGGGTATCTGTACTTTACTTGAGTAATTATTTTTCAGCGTACTTTTTACTTTTACTCATTTCATTTTTACACAATTATCTGTACTTACTACTCACTACATTTTTTAAAAAGTTAAGAAGTAGAAAGTCGTTACTCCTATTTTATTCCAAGTTGTTATTACTTTAAGAAAATATTATCCTGATAAATTGTGTCTCCTGGATAGAGTGAATTTAATTGTGTTTGGATGAGAAGTATAAATATATAACACTATTATCTTGTACACAACCCATCACAGCTGCACGCTGTTAGAAAATATATTTTTTGGAGAAGTCACCTCCCAATAAATGTTATTTTGGAAAATCCAACTGCTCACTTTTACTCAGTACTTTTACTTTTATACTTAAGTAGATTTTGTGTCAGAAATTTACTTTTGATACTTAAGTGCAAAAAAAATATCAGATACTTTAAGACTTTTACTCAAGTAATCTTTTTAGAGAAGACTTTAACTTTTGCCAAAGTATTTTTATGATAAGGTACTGGTACATTTACTCAAGTACCACTTTGAGGTACTTTATACAACACTGTTGCAGAGAGATGTAGCCCCGCCCACATGCTCTGAAGAAAACTCAAGCTTTTGACCAGTTTTATCCTCGCAGGCCTTTGTGGTTTATTGGAGGTTGATTTTGTGTTTAATCCAGGACAGAGATTAACGGCAGACATGTCTCAATCTGCTCTCTGTCAGCTTTATACACGAAAGAAAAAAATGTTCAAACTCAAAGGCACAGTCGTGGCGAGTAGGGTCTGGTGCTGGGGACCCTCAGAGTCCTTGCTCTGGTTTCTGTAGACGATAAGGTTCTGTTGGGGTCTGTGGGTCATGACCTTTAGTGAGCACTGGGACGGGTCACAGCAGAGTGTCTGTCAGCAGCAGAAGTCTGAGGCCTGCTGCTTTGACAGTTGAAACAAATCCCTGTCCTCCTGATCCTGCAGGTGGCATATTTTGGTGACAGCATGAGGTCGGACGTGTTTCCCGCCTCCACCTTCGGGAAGTGGGAGACGGTGATGATCGTGGAGGAAATGGAGGGGGATGGGGTCCCGAAAAGCGATGCTGCAGTGTTCAATGAGACCCAAGTGGAGCCGCAGGAGAAGAGGGGAAAGTTTGAGGTAAGTTCACTAAAACAGCTGGTTCTGTTTATCAGTGCGCCCTCACCCCCACCCTCCTGATACCCACTGATGAGTCAGATACACTGTGGTATATATCAGCTGCAGCTTTCATCCACACTGATGAGAACAGAGTTCTGATCCAGTTGCTTCTACACGTCATCTCAGACCCTCCTGTCTGATCTCTGAGTGTGTTACGAATCACTCTCAGYTACTACCTCACCCAGTGTTAGCTCAATGTCTGTGAAACTGTTAGAATCTTTTTCACGTTTGCTGTGGTAGCTTAGCTGTGGCGGCYATCCTAAATCTGTTTGACTCTGCAGGTTCATGAGTTGCCTTTAAATCAGCCCACCGTTTCATCAGATATTTTGCTAACGCTAAGGATAAACAAGCATCTGAAACTTAAAGAGTGTTGGTAGTTCGTCTCTCACTTCCTGCTCACACAGCACAGATTATYATCAGCAGGAAGTTCTGATTAAAAACTAGACATGGGTTTTTACGATGTAAAAACAAGTGTTGCATTGCCATGTAGCATGTCATTGCAGCATGCCTTTGCCTGCAGCAGTGGACTTGCAGAATAAACTGTGACCAAGTTCAAATGTGTTTTCTATACCAGCTTGTGCCTGTCACGTCAGCAGGTATTTGTAATGAGGATAATTGTGTGACAAGATGAAGTGTGTAGAGATTTTTAGTTAAAGTTGCTGTAGCTGGGTTTTAACCCTTATCTCCCACATRAAAGCCCATGGCATTAACCATTAGACCAYTGGAGCTGTGGCAGAGCAGGTTGCCAGGAGTTGGTTTGTATGTGTGCAGAAAGAGGCSACATTGCCAATACAATTATTGACACTAAACTGCAATATATTACAACAATAGAACAACATTRACAGTATTACAKTAAAACATCAAAATACAATCATATTAATATTGTAATCACTGAACTACTGAGTTTAAATATTATAAAACTATGGTGCAGTACCATATTGTGTAGATGCAGCAGGGGGCAGTAATGGACCAATACAAGGCGCCATTGACTGCCATTGAAATTTATTAAACATTAATATTTCAAAAACTAAGTTTTACAGGCACCAAAATGCATAGCCATCATTTGGCACAGGAGCTTTACAGATATAAATTACAATGGCAGCTCTAGGACAAAGTATGCAGGAGAAGCGTACCAAAGTTGGGATGGGAAACAAATCACAATAGTGATTTATACTGAATAGCTGAATTTATAATACGGAATAGTACTGAATAATACTGAATAGTACTGAAT